TTGCCCACATTCTAACTTGTACTGATTACTGGGTGGCCAACCTGCTGGATCCCTGTTACAAGGACAATGTTCCGTCCTTAATTCCCTTACTGGAGCGTGATCGGAAAATGTGCAACTACAAGCGCACACTGGTAGACGCGCTGCTGAGGGCATTCCCAACTGACACGCCACAACAACCAGCACCACCATCTGATATGGAACGTCTTAGCAGGAGGCAGCATTTCAGCAACATGGTGGAACAGTGCGTGTGCAGATATCTACATGTACTGACTGATGGGTCTGCCCCATTCAACTTCTGGGTCTCCAAACTGGGCACATGGCCTGAGCTTGCCCTTTATGCCTTGGAGGTGCTGGCCTGCCCTGCAGCCAGTGTATTGTCTGAACGTGTGTTTAGCACGGCAGGGGGCGTTATCACAGACAAGCGCAGCCACTTGTCCTGGACAAGCTCACGTTTATTAATATGAACCAGGCATGGATCCCACCAGACTTGTCTGTACATTGTGCAACAAACATTTATTTTGTGGGCTACCCCAATAAAAAAAAATTAAAAAAAATAAATAAAAAACAGTGTTGGCTAACTCCTCCACCGCCGCTTCCACCTACACCGCCACGGTGTATACCCAGATATATCAGAGCTGCTGCAGAAAGTGCGGGCCATCTGTGCGAGCTTTTGGCGTTCTCACCTTCCTGCTGCTCGCCTGTCTGTGCTGCAGTGTAACTTCGGCCTTCCCGCTCACAGCCTCATGAGACTGTGCAAGCAGCAGCAGGCGATAGTGGAGTTTCAGCTGCAGCACGCACGGGTCAGTTGCTCTGCGGAACAGAGTTTTCTTTTTTTATATGTCCCAATATTTTGGGGGCTACCCCAATTAAAATAATAAAAAAAAAATATATATATATATATATATATATATATATACAGTGTTGGCTACCTCCTCCTCCACAGCTGTTTCCACCTACACCGCCACGGTCACCGCCTGCTCAACCTATGGGTCACTTAGTATAAACTATGTACACAATAGCAGAGGCTTGTGAAGGCCTTTTCTCCATGCATCAGCAGTTGAGCATTTCTCCATGCATCTGGACTGCAAGAAATGCACCGCAGGCAGCAAATGTTTATTTTTTTATATGTCCCAATATTTTGGGGGCTACCCCAATAAAAAAAAAAAAAAAATTTTTTAAAAAACAGTGTTGGCTAACTCCTCCTGCTCCACAGCCGCTTCCACCTACACCGCCACGGTCACCGCCTCCTCAACCTATGGGTCACGTAGTATAAACTATGTACACGATAGCAGAGGATTGTAAAGGCCTTTTCTCCATGCATCAGGAGTTGAGCTCAGTTTGAACAATGAAAGAGAATACCCTGCACTCCAACCCTCTCTCAAATGGATAATTCTGGTGATCCTCCTGACAGCCATGCTTTAGATTTTGATTTATGTTCTTCCAAAGCTAAAATCAAAGATTCCATCTAGTGCTATTTTATGGCTCAGCTTTATTTTTAATTTTTATGTTATTTTAAGTGATTTCCCTATCCACATTTGTTTGCAGGGCACTTGTCCTAATCTTACCTCCATTTTACTTCCTTTTGCAACTCTCTAGCCCTTTCCATGAGGTTTTTAGAGACATTTTTGTGGCCAAAAGTTCAGGTCACCATTGACTTCAATAGGGTTCGGGGTCAAGTTTGATCCCGAAACCTGACTTTTTTTCAAAGTTCGTCTGAACCCGCCGGACCCGAACATCCAGGTGTCCGCTCAACTCTATACAGGACTGAATGTGGTGTGTATAGTGTAAATTAATTAGAATGTGTGTAATGGATGTAGTGTTTGTGTGTATTAGATACTGTTTGTGCAGTGAATACAGAGTGTGTGTTTGTGTAGCGGATGCAGTGTGTATAGTGAATGCAGAGTGTGTTTGAGTAGTGGATGTAGATTGTGTACAGTGATGTAGTGTGTGTTTGTGTAGTGTTTGTGCAGTGGATGTAGTGTTTGTGTGTGCTAGATGCAATGTGTTTAGTGGATGCAGTGTCTGTAGTGGATGTAGTGTGTGTATTAGACACAGTGTCTCTGTATAGTGAATGCAGAGTGTTTGAATGTGTGGTGGATGTACTGTGTGTACTGTGAATACATGATGTTTGTGTAGTGGATGCTGTGTGTATAGTTAAAGCAGAGTGTGTGTTAGTGTAGTGAATGCAGAGTGTGTGTTAGTGTAGTGAATGCATAGTATATGTCAGCGTAGTAAATGCAGAGTGTGTGCATAGTGTAGTGAATGCAGAAAGTGTGTTAGTGTGTAATGAATGCAGTGTGTGTTAGTGTAGTGAATGCAGAGTGTGTGTTGCCCAATAACTCCAGCGAGTTACCAGCTACAAGCATGCCAGAGGCCCCTGGCACACTCATACCTAAAGGGGTGAAACCACTTGAAATAAGAATGTGTCTAGGGGCCTCCTGGAACCATATGGCACCATTTTGATTACGTTTTTATGGTGCTTTGAGTGTTCCTTTAATAGCAACCATGTGTACAGTGTAATGCCATACACTTTAACTAGCCAATCATAGAGTAAAGTATGCTCACGGGGATCCCTTACTGGCACATTGTGGTTAGAAACAGCTTACAAACCACATGTTTTTGTGTTTTACCAATGAGCAACACATCTACAAGTGGTTGGTATCGCTGCAAGCAGACATTACTAATGGACAGCCAGAAAAAAATTGCAACATGTTTTTAAGCCAGTTATTAATTAGTAGCTGCTACTAACTACCTGCCTTTAATAGTGACAGATTATAGTAGCTAAACTCAAGAGGCAGCAATTAATCAGAGCACCTGTCTTGCAAAGACTTTTCATTGAGCTGTTTTGAGAAGTCTATGATTGGACAGCCCAGAAAGTCTGGGCAGGGTTAGAATGGGAGGGCTTCCATAGGTAGTGGACAGAAAATTGTAGGTTTTGCAAACTGTTTTTAGATATATCCCCAATGAAAAAATGCATGATAAAATATATGCAATTTTTAATTTGGGGTATATCTAACAGTGATTTTTAATGAATTTTGTATTCGGGCAGTGGGATGTCCTTTTAAGGTATCTGATGAGGTCACAGCATTGTGCTGATGTCATTGACAGTTTAGGCTATATATATCTGCTGACCAGGACCAGTACAGTTATTACTGTATAACCATGGCAGAAAGATTTGCAGGAGAGAATAAGCAGATGTTTCCAGCTCTTTCGAGAGAAACAACACATGGCAAGGTGAATGGGGGTTATGTAATCACTAAATCCATGCAACCCCTTGCCCGTTTGACCTTCTAACCCAGTTCCTTTCCTTCTTATGCCGAATGTATGGTGTTAAGTATAATTATTAATATCCATATGGACCCCCCATATAAGTATAATATTTTTGGTGACTAATTTGATTCCTCATTATCAGAGAAAATAAAATCGAATGTGAATAGTCATAGAAGGGATTACTTTACCTATATATGCATGCATAAAATCGTTATAAAATGATTCTCTATTTTAGGCATCTTCCATTAGAGCCAGGCCAACACAGAGAAATACGTCTTCGAGGATCAAACTCCCACCATGTCCTAATAATCGGATTCCGATGCTTACCACAAATCCCTCGGAAAAGGTATACACTACAATCTAAATCCATAGTCTGATTCATATTAGGAAGGGAACATTTTACAGACACAGGCTGTAAACCTGAGATTTTTTTTACATCGTCATTTTCTTCATGCTTTTTTTTTTTAGTTTATTGTGGATGTCATTCTCCAAAGTATAAATTATAAAAAAAATTGTCACATTAATATGTATATTACATATGTTCTGCAATCTACAATAACTGAATTTCTATTTGTTTAGGTGGATTTCATTAGAGCACCCCCAGCAGAACAATTTGTGAATGTTCCTGCTGGAGTAAAATTTCCAGTGTGTCCTAAACAGCCTGTCCAGTTCTGTACCACCAAGCTCTCGGAAAAGGTATTTATACTTATCCAGACTAGTAAGCAGATATTTTCAAGACAAATTAAATAGGGCTACGGATTGATATGAAGGGTTGTATATTTAATGCCAAACCATGGAAATGATCAATTAAAGTAAGCATTAAAAGATTTTATAAATTAGTATCTCACATCAATCATTAGTTATATTGTAGATTATTAACTCTTCTATCAAATAACAAAATAGCTGAAGTGGATAAGCATTAGTCTACTATGTTTAACCTACTATGTTTAACCTTTCAAACAATCCCCAATTATTTTATATATTACTTGTTTTATGCTAATGAGTGTTCTTCAGAATAGGTTTACAGAATGAGTGCACAAATGTTTTATGTTATAATGTTTTTGCAGCTTTATAAGCAAAGTCCATCATTTGACCTTGAGGATCCGTATTGTCGTTTGATGAAGACAACCTACCATAACCTGCATGACCCGTACTTAAAAGAATATTACCAGAGTAAAGTACCTCGACAACGGATACGTCAGCAGGGATTTATCACCAGTGATGATAAGGTAGGATAAAAAAACAAAAACAAGCAACATGCCACTTCCATTTAATTTAACACTAACATATTGCATACATAAATGTAACTGAATGACACTGAATTAAAAGAAAATCTCTTGTTTAGGTTGTTTGCTCTTTAAAAGAGTACAATGAGTACAGGGAGTACCTCTCAAGCATACATAGAAAGAAAATGAAAAACGTAAGTTGGATTCAGATTTATAGCAAAAACAGTCAACATAGTAGACAAAGTGTAATTTTCAGTGGCATGATATTTAGCTACTCAAATTAAAAACAATTTTAAAAAGATGAATAAATAATAATAATCTGTTTGTTTTTTAGAAGTTGGAGAAACAAAGTAGACAAAAGTCTTCTTCAAACTAATGATGCTCCCAAGATAGTTAGAAAACTTTTTCTTAATAAAGGTTCATTCCTACTTGACGATACTGCCACATGTGATTTCCTGCAAAACAGTCCGAACATATGAAAATATGTCATCATACGAACATGTGGGTTCAAATATGAAATTTTATTTAAAGAAACACTCTAGCACTATAACAATTTTGTCTAATTGAATTGGTTGTAGCGTCTGCAATCCACGGCACCTATTCCATGGTTAATGTTAAATCACGAATAGTTTAACACCTAATGAGGGGTCTACTGCACACCCCTTGCTTGGAGTAGTTACACTCCACCTTAGCTATACCAGTGTATAGCAGCAATAGATGTCTGTGATACTCTGAGAGCCAGCAGGTGGCGTTCCTATCACTGCCAACAATAGCTGCTTGAACTAATGTTTAAGTATGAGCCTAAGCAGTAGAGAGGGGCTGGACATCGGGCGTCCGGGGTCCTTCATTCAGTGTTTAACAAATTGAAACCGATTCAGCGCCCAGGTACTCCAAGCACTTTATTTTAATGAGATTAAGCGGTTTTAGTGCCTTCCTCCAGTGTTACTTTAACAAACAATATAACAAATCATACAGATTGGCCTTTAATCAGATACAATCCGAGGTGTTTGCTGGTACCATTATACACAAGGCAAATAAGCACAAACCTCATATTTTAAACTAGAAAAGCTACAATTTCTGGTGAAATTGTGTGAAGTGTTCTTGCCTCCACCAGTAGTCTACAACTGGAGTGGGCGGAGTAACTGTTATCATTTACATAGCACATTTAATTGCAACGTTGTTGCACAGTTACATTAAACCATACATTTATAAAAACATTAGCAGGTGTTCAAAAGGCCCTGTCTATGACATCACTTGCTGCTGCAGCTTGACACAGGTCAGAGTATTTTGGTGGGTTGCCATCTTCAAACGGTCGTATCTTAAAAACTATAACTCCTACAGCGAAGAGCTTTATATTGTGAGAATCACAAGACCCAGACCTACATTTTGATGCATAGTATGTCTCTGAAGTATTAAAATTGAAGGCACAGTCGCAGTTTAGAAATTGCACTTCAAATTTGAGCTTTGCAGAGTGAAGTTTCAATGAATGTCAATGGACGGCGTTGGTTGCAAACAAATGGTCATATTGTGAAAACTATCAGGACTACGGCTTAGCCGTTGACATGTTTAGTGGCAGCAGGGATAGCTGAACGTTTTGATATAAGATTTGTGTAGGTGGGCCTGAAAATAAGGGAGTGGTGGCAGTTTAGAAATCATGTCCTGATTTTTCAGCTTTTGCAGCTCCCACTCTAGCTTTGCCATTCATTCCTATGGGACAAATTGCGCCACAAAAACGACGATATTCCGTGAACCATTCGGCGAAACGTTCCACAAAGTAATAGCAATCCGATCGGGAACAATCTGCACGTTTTGGTAAATTTTTGTCTATGTAGTGTAAAAACTGTGGGAGGAGTTAGGGTGGCAAATTTTGCTATAATAAGAATAATAATAACTAGAAAGTTACAATTTCAGGGGAAATTGTGTGAAGTGTTCTTGCCTCCACCTGTAGTCTACAACTGGAGTGGGCGGAGTAACTGTTATCATTTACATAGCACATTTAATTGCAACGTTGTTGCACAGTTACATTAAACCATACATTTATAAAAACATTAGCAGGTGTTCAAAAGGCCTTGTCTATGACATCACTTGCTGCTGCAGCTTGACACAGGTCAGAGTATTTTGGTGGGTGCCATCTTCAAACGGTCGTATCCTAAAAACTATAACTCCTACCGCGAAGAGCTTTATATTGTGAGAATCACATGACCCAGACCTACAGTTTGATGCATAGTATGTCTCTGAAGTATTAAAAATGAAGGCACAGTCGCAGTTTAGAAATTGCACTTCAAATTTGAGCTTTGCAGAGTGAAGTTTCAATGAATGTCAATGGACGGCGTTGGTTGCAAACAAATGATTATATTGTGAAAACTATTAGGACTATGGCTTAGCCGTTGACATGTTTAGTGGCAGGAGGGATAGCTGAAGGTTTTGATATAAGATTTGTGTAGGTGGGCTTGGAAATGAGGGAGTGGTGGCAGTTTAGAAATCATGTCCTGATTTTTCAGCTTTTGCCAGCTCCCACTCTAGCTTTGCCATTCATTCCTATGGGACAAATTTAGCCACAAGAACGACGATATTCCGTGAACCATTCGGCGAAACGTTCCACAAAGTAATAGCAATCCGATCGGGAACAATCTGCACGTTTTGGTAAATTTTTGTCTATGTAGTGTAAAAACTGTAGGAGGAGTTAGGGTGGCAAATTTTGCTATAATAATAATAATAATAATATATATGTGAGATAACATTAAGTGGTCTTGCTATGCAAGAACACTTAATAATAATAATATATATGTGAGATAACATTAAGTGGTCTTGCTATGCAAGAACACTTAATCATAAAATCGGGCATTCATGTCATCAGGGATTCTTCAATTGTGGATTACTAAAAATGATTTGAAAATTATATTTGCTTTGTTTCTTGGTATTTGCGTGTTGCATCATGTGTATTCCTGCAAAGCAATTCAAAGTAAAAAATACTGAAGTTAATCTTGATTGCGCTAACTGATTGGGAGTAATGTCTAAACACTGTACTATGAAATCTATCAATCACTAAACAGTAAAGACAAAAAGGAAATTGGGTGCACACCCAGAACATGCATTTCACAGGAATGGTGCTTCCATAGAGAGCAAAATATATACATCATACAGAAGGAACAGGACACACATACAAATCTATTATTTATTCTATAAGGTTACTTAAAATCAAACAAATATGGGGATCCATGCCCACCATATGGCCATATCATATTTTGTTAAGCCCACCACTACGTCACAGTATCCCAATATCGGTGGGTCCTTCACTAATTCCAGTGTAGGAGACAAATCAAAGAGTGCTAGTGCTAAATATGTTGCAGTGTATTTTAATAATCTGTTGTAAACGTTCTTACAATAAAAATGAAGAACAGAAATTGGTAACGGTAAAACTCCTGAGTGGGGGTGACCCCTGAGGAATAATATATACAAAAGTTCTTACAACAGATTATTAAAATACACTTTTGCTTATTTAGCACTCAAACTATTTAATTTTTCTCCTATGGTAGAATTAGTGTAGGACCCAGTGATATTGGGGTACTTTGAAGTAGTGGTGGGCTTAACACAATATGGCCATATGGTTTTACTGAATCCTCATATTTGTTTGCTGAGATTTTAAGTAGTCTTATAAAATGTAAAATTGTATTTTTACAGGTGATACTCAAAAAATTAGAATATCGTGCAAAAGTTCATTTATTTCAGTAAAAACGTAAAAGAGGAAACTAATATATGAGATAGACGCATTACATGCAAAGCAAGATAGTTCAAGCCGTGATTTGTCAGAAGTGCAATGATTATGGCTTACAGCTCATGAAAAATCCAAATCCACATTCTATATTGTGAAAAGATGCTATATTCTAGGCTCACAGTGTCCCACTCTAATCAGCTAAGTAAGCCATAACACCTGCAAATGGTTTTTGAGCCTTTAAATGGTCTCTCAGTCTGGATCAGTAGGAATCACAATCTTGGGGATGACTGCTGACTTGACAGTTGTGCAGAAAACCATCTGACATCCTCCATAAGGAGGTAACGCCTCAAAAGGTAATTGCGAAGGAAGTTGGATGTTCCCAAAGTGCTGTATCAAACCACATTAATAGAAAGTTATGTGGAATGTCTAAATAATGTCTAAACACTGTACTATGAAATCTATCAATCACTAAACAGTAAAGACAAAAAGGAAATTGGGTGCACACCCAGAACATGCATTTCACAGATATGGTGCTTCCATAGAGAGCAAAATATATACATCATACAGAAGGAACAGGGCACACAAACAAATCTATTTTTTATTTTATAAGGCTACTTAAAATCCTGTATTTCGAACTTCGTCAAAAAGGCAGAGTTCGGCCGAACTTCTTCAAAAAGTTCGAGTTCGGGCTCGAACTTGACCCTGAACCCGAACCCCATTAAAGTCAATGGGGACCCGAACTTTTGGGCACTAAAATGCCTCTAAAAACACTGTTTTTTATTTGTTTGTTTTTTTTTGTTTTTTTTTAATTGGGATAGCCCCAAAATATTGGGACATATAAAAAAAAGAAACATTTGCGGTCTGCACACTGCAGAAAGCCACAGCAGTTGGCACCTGTGTTTCATCATCATCATCATAAACGTGCTACGTCATCATCACCTCCTGGACAGCATCCATTTTACATTCATTGTGAAGCTGCATTCTTAGTGAGCTGTCCAGGAGGTGGGAGGGTCTGGGATGGAGGGTCTGCTGCTGATTGGCTGGAATGTGTCTGCTGACTGTGAGGTACAGGGTCAAAGTTTACTCAATGATGACGAATAGGGGGCAGACCGAACAACGCATATGTTCGCAGTCCGTGGCGAACCGTTCGGCGAACCGTTCGGGACATCACTATTCCTTAATATTTTTTCTCCTTTTATGGCAGCGACCATTATGTATTCTTTTGTCAGCGATCACTCCGATATGATCAGGTGGATGAGAGTTCTCTATCCACCCCCAGTGTGACACTTTAGTTACTGTCATACTTACCTGATTATATACAATTTATCTAGTCAGTATCCAGTCATTTATTAATTTATCTATTTACTTTTTATGAATGGACGAGTATACCTCCCTCGAGAGACTTGGGTGATTTTGTATCACACCCACCTTCGTCATTATAGGTCCTGGCAATAAGAGGAGGGAACAAGCTACGTACCGACCAACCCTCAACTCACTCGCTTGTACGGATTGGAGACTTATGATAGGGGGGAGTGTCTACATTCCTTTATAAACGGTTCCTAGTTCATTTATCAGTTAGCTCTTGACAAAGGCGTATGGAAATGCCGAAACGCGCATCGAGCTTCTTTTTGCCGATGCATCTACTTTGACTGAGTTTTATTTTCTCGCTCTTTATTTTATTTTTACATACCTGGGCTCCCACGATGTCTGCAGTTGTTCTCTAACATGCACTGGGGTATCTCCATAGGTTCTTAGGGATATTGCTAGGCTGCTTCAAAGCAGCAGTCAGTCTTTACCGTTTACTTTGGGCTAGACAGTTAGTCTAGGGTGTCCTTAGGTGCTGTTCTCTCCCCGTCAGTATTGGGAGGCTATCATCTTGGTTTGTTTGAGCTACATTTAGTAGTTCGGCTTTTTGTTTTACTTTTTCCCTCATTTGAGTGGAACAGGAGATACCTATTTTTCCCTGACTGGGATTATTGTTATATACATTGAATAACAGCACTTCTTTTGTTTCTGTCCTTCTAACCATAGGGAGGTTCATTTGTTT